TTGGATAAACCTCAAACTAAATTATAAAACATACAGAACTTTTCAGATTTTTCTTAATCCTCACCATGTTATGATGATATCAGCTGTTACCTTTTGATGTAAAGATCTAATTGGTTGCAGTCATTAATCTTAGGTCATACTCTATTTCCCATTACGCAAAGAGGTTCATCTTTTCCTAAGTTACTAAATTGTTATGCAAGTATTTCAACGCTTTGACTAGCTAGTGCATAATCCTCAATTATTATAAAAAAACGAAAATTATAAAGCGAAGAAATTGATAATATATCACAACTATTTTTGCTGTACCAGGGAATGGTACAATCTATTTTGCAATAAAAAGGGAATTCTGACTTGAAGAAAATTTTGTCCAATAATAACACTTTCTAGAAATTACTCCTTTGTCTCTTGAGGTATAAAATTGGAACAATACAGTGAAAAGACTCCGTTATACTTAATTGATTTTTGTTATCTCACATTTAGAAATCAACCTTTCCAAAATAGTTTGGTGAACTCCCTCTCTTGAGGTTCACTGCCTTTTTAACCTACTACATTAAGTAGTATCTATAAGTGTACCAAAATCCCAAATAATTACTTTTAATAAGGAATCTGCTTTTCAAGAATAAAGACTTTGCTTAATATGGAAGCTCTTGAAACATGTTCTTTGCTTAAAATTCTGAGCATCTCTTAGAGCCGTTTTTTATTCACTTAATAGAAACAATAGCCCATAATGCAATTGAACAAGACATTTCATGAAAGCTTAAATGGAGAAATATGACCGTGAGAATTTATAGTAAAAATTGCACGGGACGCCCTATTTGGTCGTCCCCATTTAGTCAATACTCATTCTTTTTAAAACTTTTAACTTGTACCCACTTTTTAAACAACTTCAGCCCCCTTTCTCCTGCCTCTTCTTTCTCAAACTTCTCCTTCTCCCTTTTCTGCAATAGTAACTTCAATAATGAGAGAAAGGGAAATCTTTTGCCACCATCAGTTTATTTCAATACTGTGGATGTTCTTTCTGTTTAGATTAATTACAAGAATAAAAATATATTTCTGTTTTTTGGAAACTAACAGAATGTTCACTCCCCTAGAGAATTGCATGTTCACATTATATCAATGCATCAAAAACTCAATGTAGATGCATATATCAAAGATTGTGTAAATAAAGAGTAGATTATTTTTGTGTGTTGGGTGGTTGTCTACTCTACCCTTCAACCTCGCACCCCCATCCTTCCCGTTCTTTTATACATCAACAAGGCTTGGTGCTTATTGGTTTTCCTTTTCTTCTTGTTCTTTTCTTTAGCTCTGTTCATCTATTACATGTTGCAGGGAACTCAATACCACAATGCAGTGCAAAAGTTTGTCGATGCGTCCAAGCTGAACGAATGAAATGGCCATGATCCCTGTGAACTGATTAGACACCTCTAGAGCTGAAGCTTACAAACAAAAACTTCAGCTCTAGAGCTGAAGTTCGATAGTTAAAAAACAAAAACTTCAGCTCTAGAGCTGAAGCTTACAAACAAAAACTTCAAGCTTACAAACAAGAGCTGAAGTTCGATAGTTAAAAAACAAAAACTTCAGCTCTAGAGCTGAAGCTTACAAACAAAAACTTCAACTTTAGAGCTGAAGCTTACAAACAAGAGCTGAAGTTCGATAGTTAAAAAACAAAAACTTCAGCTCTAGAGCTGAAGCTTACCAACAAAAACTTCAGCTCTAGAGTTGAAGCTTACAAACAAGAGCTGAAGTTCGATAGTTAAAAAACAAAAACATCAGCTCTAGAGCTGAAGCTTACAAACAAAAACTTCAGCTCTAGAGCTGAAGTTCGATAGTTAAAAAACAAAAACCTCAACTCTAGAGCTGAAGCTTACAAACAAAAACTTCGCCAGTTACAAACAAAAACTTTAGCTCTAGAGCCGAACTTCAGGCCCGACTACTAGAATGCTGAAGTTTTGCGTGATTGCCTTTGCTACTTCAACCCCGTATGTTGAAGTTATGCGAAAAAGTAGGTACGCTTGCAAATTTTTTTGAAAAGCAGACACAAGTTAAAACGTGACACAAAAAGCGGGTATAGATACAAATCCCCCGAATTTATAGAGTCAACTCCAACTTATTTGGGACTTAGTAATTAGTGTACACTCTCTAAATAAAAGTGGGAGGCGAAGATATTGTCTATTGTAAATTCGGAAAAGGGCCTAAACTACCCCTATCGTTTGCTAAATGATTTATAAATACCCTCCGTCCATCTATCCGTCCAAAAAAATATACGACGTTAATTCAATTAACAAAAATACCCCCGCGACTAACGGCAGAATTGGTGGGTCTTTCATTTAATGACGTGACAATTTTTAACTGGGCCACATGACATTATTGACCAAGAATCAAATATGGGTCTTATTTTTACCCATTTACCCGGTCCGACCCATTTACCCATTTTTCCGTGCTATGCAGTATTGACAAAAATGGCTTCTACAAAACAAAACGGGCTTAGCTAAACTGCTGGGCGAGTTGCTAAAACTGGTTGATTCTGCCTCTTCTAGCTACATTTATGTACTTCAAGCAAAATGTATTTGTGTTTCGTGGCTTCCATACAACACTCGTCACTGCTTCGAGATCAGGAAAGTAAAATTATGTTTCAAGCCGTGTGCTTGAAAACCTTTTTTATTCTTATAATTTTTAGCTATTAAGTCAACTTTTTTATGGATTGTTTTTTACACCGTGAATATCAGAAGTTAAAATCTTCATAGAATGGTGGCTCTCAATGAGAGCAACAAGAATTACATAGCAAAAAATTTGAGATATACATCATGGTTTTTCACCGGTAATAGAAAATTTTCCCCAAATTACATCATGGTTAAACTTGGGCTTTCGCCGGAGCAGTCGCCGGCAAATTCCCCATCGAAGGATCGTCTCCATTTTTTCTTACCCATCTGATTCTCACCCAGCCAAAACTTCTCTTTTCTAACCCATCAGAGGAAGAAGGAAGAAAGAGAAATGGAAAAAATTAAGAAAAAGAGAAAATAATGAGTCGGGAAAATAATTGGGCGGGTTTGGTTAATGGGGCGAGTATTTGGTTTCGGAACGAGAGCCACGTGGCCCAATAAAAAAATGACAACACATTAGACGTGGAGCCCACGTGCTGCACCGTTAAAAAGAGGGGTACTTTTAGATATAAAAATAACGTGGTATGTATTTTTGGACAAATAGATGGACGGAGGGTATTTCAAAACCATTTAATAAACGATAGGGGTAGTTTTGACCCTTTTCCGTTGTAAATTTCACAATTTTTTCAAATTTAATTTCAACACCCCCACACACACACCCCACCAAATAATACCCTTCAGGACAGTCATGGAAACATCTTACTGTATCACACAATTCGAGTATTACATTCCAAAGAAATGAATATCAAGGGTCCTAATTTCCCGAAACCCATGGCCAAGATGCTAGAAATAATTCCTTAAGTTGGTTAACAAATGATAGTTATGGTATAATGGAACTAGTTTCCTTTCACAAAACTAGTAGTGGGAGTTGTAACTAATGCAATAAACACACAAAGGACAGAGAAAAAGAAAAATTCTAAAATTGAAATATTTTGCAAGGTAAGGTTTCCATCGAAACCCTCCTTTTCACGTTACTGACTTTTTATCTCATAAGTTGGTTTACACTTGTCACTCTTTACTTTCTTTTTCTCATATTTAGACTTTGAAATACGACGCTATAGCATAGTATCTCTCACTCACTTGTGAGTTAATCTAACATTTGAACACCTGATTACACCTCGATCAGTTCACCCTTAATAAAAGGTCTGAGTTTAAATCGTGAGTAAAAAAAAAATCTGATTCTGCAGCATTAATCTGGATTATTCGGGCCATAATACTGTTACCGAGATCGGGTGGGAAATTAAAAAAAAAATCCTTTCAACACCCCTGCATTACTCTTTTGCCACTTGCAGAAACTTGCACCTGCACTCTTCTTTACATTTCAAAGTTGTTATAATACTTTTCATACACACCAAAAACACTTACCTGATCTATTCTTGCTTTTTTTCTTTCCATGTATTTTAATATTAAAACATTTTTTTTATATCTCAAGGAACAATAAATATGTTATGTCACTATATTATATGAAGTTCAGGAGTAAGTGAATAAATATAAAGTACTTCTTTTAGATTCTTATTTAGCATCTTGGTAAAATATATATATATATATATATATATATATATATCCATCTATTTATTTACATACACCAAATGCAGGTAAATTTTTCTCATTTGACTTTCTCGACTACACACCTGGAGAAAAATGGATAAAAATTGTTTATTACTATCTCAAAACATGTAAAAATAACCATTCTTGACGAAAGTTAATTTCAACATAATATGTCATGATTAACCTTCTCTTCATTTTTCTTCTTTTATTGTTCTTTTACGTCTTCAATGGTCATGAACTAAAGTAGCGTATAAAGGTAAAGCAAGAGATTGACCGATATTTGCGTGGGCAAAATTTTACATGAAAGCAAGAAGCATTATTAGGTGGTATTTTATATCAGAATGATTAAAGTAAGAGGCAGTTAAGTTTTCAGCCAATCTCAATTATCAAATTACAAGCAATAATGAGAAAGGTTTTACTTAAGAAATGAAAATTCTAAGATATTTTCTTGGCAAATGCACAATGATTGCAGGATGTAAAAAAAAGGTACTTTAAACACTAAATATAATGGTTTCACTTTTCTGCTAAAATATCTCTTGGAATTGAAGTGAGTTCTAAATTAGCAACTAAATAGTGAGTTTCAAGTATATTGGACAGTAACCATTTTCATGTAACCTCAGACCATGTTCCACTTACTAAATTTCAATCACAAAATACTTTCATACTAATATGCAGGCACCACTATATGTTGATCATTCAACGATTAATGTAAAGGAAATCGTAGATGGGGCTATTTATAAACCAAGACCACCTGTTGTCTCTGAAGCAGCAAATAGTTAAAGATCGACAGAATTAGGAATGAAAAGAACTATTTTTGATAGCCAAAACTCAAGGGATGCTAAAATAGCTACTTAATTCCAGTGTATTGAAGAAAAAAGTGTTGCGCTACATTTGGCAAGAGTACATACATGTTCAAAGTTAGACCATCAAGAATATCTCAGAACACACTCATGTAGAAGAGCTTTATTCCGAACCTGGGGAGGAGATAACAATCAATTATACTGTTACCTTGATTACTTCATATTGGAGTCAAACCAAGTATGCCTGCATAGGAAAAGTTCAGAACGAACATTAGTCAAAATGTATTTTTGGGAGTCTCTATATACATAGCATTTAGACGATTCTAAGTGAATAAACTTCGAATAATATTAAAACCATAAGAAATACAAGGGGCCTCAGAGATGGCAAAGCTCTCAAGAGCTACGACAGATGTATTAGAACTATTCACGAGGAGGTCACTGAGAACCAGGGCGAATGATGGAGTTTAACGAAAATGGCAACCAATTATTTTTAACCAGTTCTTCGCCCCCCCAAAGATCAATAGTATGACAGAGAAAAAAGAAAGTACACAAGAAGCCTCTCTTCTGAAAGAAAAATATGTCCTGGAAATTCTATGAGACTACTCCTAATTTATTGCAGTTGAATCTTCCTCTCAACATATCCACGTCAGACAAAACCCACATAACCTCAAACAACATTTCTAACACTTATAGCAATAATGTTCAAAAGTCCTTATCAAAAAACAAAAAAAAGCGCAATAACGTTCAAAAGTCTGTGCGTAGACCAATGACAAGTAAACCCTGCACAGTTACTGATTGAACTAGAGGCTTTTCGGTTAACTAAAATTAAGGTTCAGTCATAATAAATCAGTCTCGGTTAACAAAGAGGGGGGAGGGCAATGAACAACTCGGCACAAAGAAAAAAAGAAATACCAGTCTATTTCTGGTAGCTGGCACCTGGTGGACGATGGGCAGAATGGTGTAGGATGCTGGAGTTGGAGAAAGCTTGAAAAGGTTTTCTTTTGAGTGGTTTCATTAGATATCACATATATTGCACAAGAATTTTGAACTCTTCACTAAAGGCACAACAACTAGACGAAAAAAGGGGCTCACGTCTGGTGCAAGCAAGACACTCTCAAGGAAATTGAAACATGAAGTGTAACGTCCCCTAATAGAGGGCACATAATTTCAAAGTGAAAGAAGCCACAAATAAACGTGTAAAAATTATCCTAGCTGTCAACGGTTGATCTGATGCTCTCTGGAAAAGTCAAAATTGCCGCAGACACTGAATTAGCATAAAGCTACTTTTATCATGTAATGTCAGGGAGGCTTTCTTGAGTTCGAATGCCTGGAGAGTTGGGAAGTCCATCAAAAGGATATGGTCTATGATTCCTGCTTGTATTTTGTGGTGCATATGGACAGAAAGGAATCAAAGATGTTTTGATGGCATTTCAACTGCCAACCATGCACTCAAGGCCAAATGTTTAGTTAATCTTTTTAGTTGGGTTAAGTTTACACCTGTATATAACCCTGACTCTTATTTGGAATTTATCAGCGCCTTAGTCTTACAATAGTTTTTTTGTCATTTGGGCTGATATTTCCCTTTTTTTGTAACCTATGCTTCCCTTCTTGTTAATGAAATACAACTTTTTAATTAAAAAAAAGCTAATTCTATCATGTATCTCACATTCTTTTCCTATGTAGATGTTGTCATTTGGTCAAGAACAGTCTAATTAGTCATAATTTCCTTCTTAGGAGGGTTTGTTTTCCTTCTATTCAACCTTGAGATCAGCCCAGAAACAGCTTTTATGAGCAGCCTCAGTAGTGACCAACTTTGTTTTATTGGCTGACATTTGGCTGCCGTTACCCAAAGTTTATTCACACACACATATATTTTTTAAATAAAAATGAATATTAAAGACAAGGCTGCAAGTTAAGAGGCCCTACAAGTAGTTTCTTCATGAATACGTGTATACTCTGATTCCTTCAACTATTAAATAGAAATGAACATTACTCCGTACAAAACTACACCTACATAAAAAAAAATGGTTTGTGTATCTAGAAGGAAATAAGGTGAAGAAATGAATTGGTTCCACAGGAATTTGATGTGCAAAATGTTAATGCCACTGTTGGAGTTCATCTATAATTTTCTACTTAAAATTTTAATTTCCATAATTCATGTGCAGGACAAAGAAATTATTTCATGCATAATGCTGCATATAAGTATTCAATCTTGAATCAAGAATGAACTATACTCAGTGATGTCGTATTCAAATGGCTAGGTAATTGCCCAAACAGATTAGCATTTATGAATTTCGTCCAGATCTGACTACATAGGGGGGGGGGGGCAAA